GAGCAATGGGAATGTCTCCTGGATGCAGTCAACAATGGCAGTATGAACTGCTGGCAATGATCATCAATGGCAGCATTCACAGGCTTGTACCACTCCAAGGTACCAAGTACATACACTAACCCCTTCAGACTCTTCAGGAGACAAGAGGGGCCTGTGCTGTTACCTGTGCCTAAGAAGGCCTGGGAAGCAGCTCCTACAACTCCCCTGATCTCCTGCAGTCAGGAACTGACCAAAAGGTAGGAATGCAAACGTACCGTGCAGAGACAGCCTGGCACGTTTAAGCTGCGCCAGTTGGAAAAGTGACTGCTGAATACTGGAAACTGCTTTATCCTTTGGGTTGGTCTAAGGCAGCTCTTGTCACACTGACCAAGAGCTCCGTGCCCTAACTGCAGGGTGTTCTGTACCCACCACTCCTCCGTGTGCCCTTCCCCAGGAGTCCTGCGGCACCAGATAACACAGCCCAGGGTCAGGCTGTGCTCTGAGTGGCAGCTGTTGTGGCACTCACAGTGCCCTGGCCCAGCCTGAGCGACAGCACCACCGACATGAGGCAGCCAGCCCCAGAGGTTACACTCCAGCAGTGTCTTCCCGTTCCCGGCTGGCTGTCTCCCATGTGGCGACGCACAGCACTATTCACCCGGCTATTGGCCCAGCCCAGAACTGTTTTTATTAGAAAACACTAAGGAAAGCCTTTCCAAGCCTCAGAAGGATCATCTTGTAAAGATCTGGGCTTGAGATGCCAAATGATTGCTGCTTTGGCGGAGTCTGCACATTCATTTTTTATTGGTCACAAACGCTTTCCAGATGCTGGCATGCTGGCTGCAGATTGCAACTCTGGGGACTTGGCTCCCAGCCCCAGTCACTTTGTTAAACTCTTGACCTGCTGTGGGTTAAAAGAAGCGGGGAATGGGACTGAGTCACCATGAGGGCATTGCTAAGAGAGAGTGCACCGCACAGCAGAGACCCATTTCAGCAGCTTTCTGTGCTCAGCTGGCATGGAAAACATTTAAGGTGGTCCACAGCAATCCAGCTCAGCTGCCAAAGCTGGTGAGAACTCCAGCATAGCACCAGTCCAGGGTTTAGGAGCAGGGGCAGAGGGGCTGCCCTGCAGCTGGATTTTCCACACTGCAGCCATACACTTTCCATCTTTTTTTCCTCTGCACAAGTGGATTTCCCATCCCTGCTCCAATACTAAAGCAGTCCTCTGAGCCAGAGCCATGTGCAACATCAGACTGAAAGCTGAAGCCAGGAAACCTGCCTTGGGTTCAGGTTTCATGACAAGCCTGAAGCTTGTTCATCAAGGAGGTTTGCAAACTTTTGGGGAAAAAAAAAGACTTTCTGGGTTCTCAGTTGTTACATGGTGTCCCAAATGAGGAGGGAAAAATAAAAAAAGAGATGTGAACAAGCAGAAGGAAACACAAATTTTGATAGAGCTGTTTGATATTTTTAGGAATGGAAAAAATTCCCTTTGAAAAACATAGCTGTTACAAATTATTGTTTTTTCCCCTTCCTCAATAGGGCAATTAAAAAAAAAATCTAATATTTTGCACTTTTTGATAGGCAGTTGATGACTTTCTTTAATCTCAGTTTTCAAGAAGAAAAAGTTCTCTCAAAATCTCAGTTCAAAGAGAACGCTTTTAGCTGAAACGAAATTTTTCATTCTGCTTTGAAATATGCAGCCAAAAGCAGTATTTCAGAGAATGTATTTCCATTCAGAACTTCTGGACAGGAAGAAAAACAGTTCCTGATAAGATCTCTTGACCTGAGCTTCGGTGCAGTTTCCCCCCTGCTCTGTGTGGGGACTGTGCTGGGGCAGGGGTGCTCAGGAGCAGAGTCCTCTGTCCAGGACATCCCCTCAAAGCCCCCCTCTCCTTTCCACTGCTGTATCAAAGTGCTGCCTGAACACAGCTCTGATGAGCTCCTGGTCTCTGCAGATGAACTGGAGGCCAGGCAGGGCAGTGGGCAGGAGGCTGGGGCAGGAATGCCCAGCAGGGCTGGAGCTCAGCTCCTTCAGCACTTGCACAGGGATGTGGTGGTGGGAATGGCCCTTAGTGCCTGGTCACTCCTCAGCTGGGGACACTGCTGGCAGAGCTCTGCCTGCTCCCCTCCACCCAGCAGCTGCAGATGGAGATCTCCAAGATGCTGATAGAAGCAGGATGTGAGGGATGGCTGGGTCACGGCTCTGGGTGTTCACTTCTAATGTCCCTTCAGATCTTTGTGGGAGCTCAGTGTCACCCACAGGCCATTCATTAGAGCAGGCAGGGCCTGTGCATGTTGAGCAAAAAAGGGGAGTGTGAGTGACCCAGTCCTTCTGGTCAAGCCTTCAAGAGCCACCCAGGGAAAAGAAGCAGAGGTTTCAGTGGAAGCTGGGATCTGCCTCTTTGTACTTCTCCTGCTCAGCAGAGGCCTGCCCACAGCTCTGCTCATGTTTGCAAGCAGCGCACGATCCCCTCAGCATTACTTGTGCATACAGAAAGCTCTGCAGTCCAGAGGGAGTATTGGGGGAAGGTTTTATCCCATGGATCTGGTCCAGTGATGCTAATTAAATCATCACATTAGAGCTGGGGGCTTTTTTGAGTAAGTGTTACCACTTGAGCTGAATCGCACCTCTGCTCGCAGCCAGGTGTGCTGCCTTGACTCCAGAGAGCCCTGCCAAACTCATTTCACTTGTGATGCTAAGGCAGTTCCAGCACAGTCTCCAGAGATGAATAAAAAAGGGGAGCAATACAGTGTAAGCCTGAAACCATTTAGACTCAGCCAAGTGGAAATCCATCCTGACTCCCCACCCAAAACCAAACAACTGAGAAAAAGAGAGAAAGTTTTACATAATAATCTCTCCAATGTTACAGCAGACAGTGTTTCTCTGAGGACATTATGTAATGTCTCGTAAGGGCTTTCAGCTGAATTATCAGGTGACTTGCACAATTACTAAAGAGAAAAACAGAATCACAGGTGAGCAGTGGGTGTGAGAATACATTTCTGCCTGTTGTGCATTAGCAGCAGGAGAAGTGATTCAGATTCAAGATGTCATTGGAGATAGGCTCATACTACAGACCTCAGATTTGGAGGACCTAGAGCTGTTTAGATCTGACATTCTGGTCCAGGTGTGTCTTCTCCAGCATTAGAGAAGACCACTCCAAAATCCTTTGCAGAGGCACAGACTCCCCAGGGTGACTTTTCCTGCCTCCTCTTATCTTCAGGCCTTTACAACAGGAATCACTGTTCTGGGACTGATTGTGCCACAAGGACACAAAGAGAGCTCTTGGCTATTTGTCCTCCCACAGTCCAAGGATGGGAAGGATGAAAATATTCCAGATGAACTCACACTATGTAGATGCTGATGTTTACTTACATACTCACGTTCTCTCCCCTACCCCTCCTGCTCACTGAGAGCTGCAGGGGCACAGGAGGAAGAACTTGTGCAAACCCAGCCAGCACACCCGATAACACAACCCCTCGTGCCACCTTACTGAGTTCTGTCTCACAGCAAGAAGTAGGAAAAAAAGAAACCAACAGCAAAAAGCATCATTTTTTTGCTGGGATTTTGCTCCAGAATCTCTCTCTTCTGATGGTTAGGAACCTTCTAATTACCAGCTACAGTTACTACTGGCTAGATGATACCCATCTGTTCCTGTGCCACTGCTGCCTTTAGTCTAAGCAGTTGTTCTCCTCCCTGGTATTTACCTCTCTTTTTTCTCCTGTTCTGATGTATTTATAGAATTTCTCTCAGCCTTCACCATGCCAAAGTAACCTGTTATTGAGGGAAGATTTATCTAATGGGTTTACATTTGCTTTTGCCCTACATTGGGCTATATATGTCCAGCTTCAATGTTTGAATGAAGCAGCTTTGTTTTCAGATCAGCATTGTCCTTTTAGCACGTCACTGAAGAGGTACCTTATACATCCACAAAAGGAAGGAATCCTCTGTTGCCACACAGAGTGCTTTGTAACACAATAAATAATCACATGAAGACAAATGTACTAATTACTCTCAACATGGTAGCAATTACTGAAGGAAGGGGTAGATATTAGCACTCAGAAGACAAGAGAAGAATAACGTGGACAGTACTGAGAGTTGCTTGAAAGAGAAAAGAAAAGGTACTTGGCAGAATGAAGAAGAATTAACTTCCAGAGCAGTGGAGATATTGAGTGCTGCTCTTCAGCAAGCCCCTAGGCAACAAATCAATGAACTTCTCCTAAAGAAGAGCAAAAACCAAGTGTTGCCAAAATTTTTATATTTCAATGTCTTTTCTTTAGACAGTCCTAGTAATATCAGAGTAATTCTGCAAATGGAATCATAGAATTTTACCAGAGGAAACATAAACCTTTAATAATCCCCCACTTGCACCATAATCAAATTGCTGGTATCATAACCCTTTTGTGGTAAAACCAGCCAGACCAGCAAAGGAAAATGCCTCTTGGGTGAGTACACACAAGTTTCACATGATGTTGGGATGAGATAGGAGGGCTTTGTCCTGTCTGGTTTTGGGTTCCATAATGCTTCTCAGTGTAGTAATATAGCTTACCTGCATCCTCTCTCCTGTGAGTGCAACCCAGAGATGCAGATGTGATATGTAATGCATTTAAGCCAGTGTATGCAGCTGGCTTAAATACATCTGTGCCCAGCAGAAATTGCCTTAGAATTCATTTTCTGGCCAAATTATTGTTAGCATTTTGATGTAGTTTCTACTGGAGGCATTTTTAAGGCTATATTTTGTACATGGGTATAAATAAAACAATTTCATTGACAGCTGACAGAATTATTTTAGATTTCACTGGGGCAGCTGATATAAAATCTCAGCATTTCATGCCCCTCTCACCCCAGAAGCAGTTGCATTAGATTAAAGAGTGGATAACTCTCTGAGTTAATCCATTACACTGCGTTGCTTCCTCCAGAGAGACCAGAACGCAGCCTGATATCACTGAAGGTAAGTGCAGAATCATTAGGCAGAATTTTAGGAGGTATGGTCAATCACCCAGGAAGCTTAAAAACACAGTCATACCTGCTTTAAATGCGTTTAGTTGTACACTCCGTAGACTGAAGGACTTTTCCTACCCACGGCAGCACCTCCCGGCCGAGGATGGGTGTCCTACCGGCGGCTCTCCTGCGCCCCCTGGCACCTGCTCCCCTTCTTGCAGATTATTTACGGGATCGCCGATTCCTGCTCATTTGACAATGTTCCGATTGCAAAGCACGTGGAACCTGTGGGAAGGGAGGATGGGTGAAAGGAGAGTCATGAGAGGATTCCTGTGAATCAACTCGGGAAGAGCTGGTTTCAGCTCACCCTGCTCGTACGGGCCCTTACTACTCCTGCACTCGGTGAGGAGTTGAAGTCAATTAGGGTCCACTGCAGGCCAGAAAGCTCGTTTGTTTTGCTTCCATTCTGGAATCTCATCCTTGTTGTGTTCTACCTTGGAGTGGGGAAAAACTATGGCTCTAGTGCTTGTGCCTGGATTTGCACTCTCAGTTACTTACACCTCCATATGAACACACACACACACACACAATATATAGCAAGAGATTTGTAGTAGGTCTCCCTGAAATTCTTCCCCTTTGAACTCTGCCAAGTATCATCATCATCATTATTATTACTCAAATACCCAAAGCTGTATCTGATACCATCATGCCATCAAGAAAGGAACAGTGGGTTTGGGGCCCCTTATGAAGAGATACAGGCTGATGTTAATGTAGAAGCCTCCTCCTTAACTAAACTGGGAACAGGCTCTAAGGAGGAGGAGAGAAGGATCCCCCATGTAGATCCTAGGGGACAGTCTTGGAAAAGAAAACTCAAAAATCTCCTACAGACACACCTCTTAGGTCCTCTGGGGTTGCGGCAGGACAAGGCTCCCCAGAACACCCCGTAGGATTAGGGAAATAGAAGTATAACTAATTCTAGTCCATCATACCTCCCTGCCTCTGGAAAATAAGGACTTAACATTGACTGTCAGAGAACAGCTGGCAGTGTGAGACTGGGACTTCATCTCCAGGAATTTCTTTTTCTCACCTCTTTGCTGACAAGGAAACAAATTTCTCTCTTAAACATTTCTTGCTTTCTTTCTCTATCCCTCCCTTCCTCTGGAAGTGTAAAATGAGTCAATTGGATAGCTAATCAAGAAAGAAAAAGAAGATACACTCACTAGAAGCTGGAGAGAGCAGATATCTACCTTTAGTTGCAGGGATTGGCATGGGTTCCTACCCATAAAGATAAGCCTCCACAGCTGTAGTTCTAGGAGGTTAGATCTTCCTCCAAGCATGATAAGCCTCAATCCACTGGATAGTACAAAGGGAACAGGGATTTCCCCAATACTGGTGTATACTATATAAAGTTCCACCTTCAGGCAATATATAATGGGTGAATTATAAACCCTTGAAATTTAGTTTTCTAGTACAAATATTGGTAGATCCTTGAAACAGCCGTATTGATATAGCAATTACAGCAGACAGTGTTGTTTACTAACTGCTATAATACACCATAATAAATGATAATCTACCTTGATACTATAATACTGTGATATTATAATACTGTTATTACAGCTAAAACAAATATTTTGCTGAACTAATGCAACTAATTTAGCATATATAAAAATCCTAGCTTAATTGCAAGTTTCACAATTGCAGAAAGTGCCAAAACGAATTGAAGTCCACGGGCAGAACAAAAGGAACCAGCAGGTTATACAACCAGCATTCTCGAAAGAGAAAAAGAGAAAAGATGAGCAAAGGGAATCACTTTGCAGAATCTGAAGGAAAAGAATGTTGGGAGGGTTATAAAACAACATGGTTAAAATGGTCACAAATGTCTGATTACCCTTTCCTGTATAGGATTAACAAGCAAACTACACACAGGCAGTGACAAATTATTCGATCACATTTAATGCACAGACATCTGGAGAACACACTGACCAGGTCAACCTCCAAACTGGAACCACCACGCTGCTGTTCCTGCTGTAACAGCAAGAAGCACTGGAGCTCCACTAGGATCTGCCGTGTCCTGCAGAGGAATATTCAGACTATTCCACACCCTCTTCTAATGTCCTTTGGAGCTTCAAGGAACATGGTGAGAAAGCTTACAGAGCCATGACAAAGCTGCTCACACCTGGATCATCACTAAAGTGCCCTGGTTAACAATAATTACTAACAGTGCTTCATAACCATCACGAGTTGGGTAGGTTTGAAACAGTCATGTTGTAGGTGTGTTAAAGCACGAAGATAAATCCATATTCAGGCAGAAATGAAAACATTTCCATTTGCTAACCCTAAACCACATGTGTGTGTGTGCACAAACACACTCGTACACCCCGCAAACACACTTTATCCTAATGCTTTCCAAACACAGATTGCTGTACAGTGCATCACGACTTTGGGGTGACTGTTCTGAACACTTTAGGACAAGGATTCTTTTTTGCACTCTCCAGCCTAAGAGAGTGGCTTTTGCTCCTGCCTGATTTTGCTCAATGACAGTCAATTCTAATATTTGCAGTTAGATGTAAGCCAGGCTTTTCAAAGGGGTGTTGAGTTTTTCTAGTCATCTAATAACTGCAGTGAGCAGGCTGGACAGGTCTTCCTGGCCTTCAGAAAGGACTGAATATGCCACCTCTGGGTTCCACTCCTCACCCTTCCTTCAACAGGCTTTTCATTTGCTTATTTCAGTGCTGGATCCACCCTATACATGAAAGGCTTAGCAAGCTGGCATGCAAACCAGCAGAGGTTTTTGAAAAGGCCTTACATGCAGGTAGAGCTACAGTTACCGTGGGTTTGGATAACCCCACAAAACCAACATCTCCAACTTCGCAAGGAGAGCAGTGACTCTTCCTCTGCCACCCCATGCTGTCACAGTTGAAATGAGGATGTAAAACAACTTCCATCCATCCCAGCCTCACCCCACTCAGCACAGATGTATGTGAAACACCAATGGCTCGGACTGGAAAACTGAAAAGCGGGGTGTTCCTTCTGGAACTGTGGGCACATACACACTTAGCCTGGAACATCATAAGCACAGTTTGCCCTGAAATCACCTTGTAACCATTCCTGCCTCCGTGACCCTTCCAGTGCTTCCTGCTGCCTCTCAAAGCACTGTATTACAGGTGTGGAAGCATCACTGGACCACGAGCTCTGCATCCTTCCTTTGGAGTGAGAGGAGCAGGGTAGGGTCTACCAGTGCTGAGCTTCAAGCTGCTGCAGGTAGATTTCTACCATCAAAGTGGTTCCTCTATCTCTGCATTACATTGTAGTCACTCTAATTTAAGAAGAGAGGAAGAAAAAAAACCCCACGATTGGAGACTGATATTTTATGAAAGCAGAGATTCTCCCCCTCTGCGTGATACCATCTCCCACATCAGAGAAACCCCAAGAGCCGTGGGCTTCCCATCCAGCCCTGGCTCCTAAATGTCAAAGCTGCAAACAAACTCTAAATTAGGCAATGACTTCAGGTAAAAGCAGAATTACCACACACTTGTCAAGCAGCCAATTCAAAGCAGCAAGACCTGAGGAGGAGGCTGAATGTTTGATGGCTTTGCTGGCTTGATTGGCTGCCACAATGCCCAGGATGACCGATGACACTTTCTTGGGCAGGAGCCATCTCCTGCAGGGCCCACACCCCGAGCAGAGGCCGCTCTCTGCCAGAGCAGCTGGCTCCTGCAATGGCTTTACTGGTTGGATCTTTGCTCCTTCCCAACTTCTAAAACAGGTCCTACTTGTAGGAAGGGGGGGGGGCTTGGTGTGTCTCTAGTATTTATAATTACACATTTATTGAGCTTGTGCAATCCAAACTGCAGCTTCAGGCCAAAAGTTCATTGCTAGAGGGGTTCAGTAAAGAATTTCCTCCTGAGAATGGAGAATTACATCACTTGCCAAGTGTGTCAGGCGGTTTTCCAGCCTCTGGTTGGGTCACACCCATTTTGACTGCTCCAGTGGCTGGATACTGTACATGCCTGGCCACATCCTTAAGGTCCATTGGATTCACTGTGTCTGCAGGTTCTAGACATCAGAAAACTGAGAAAGGTTGTCATACAGCCCTTCCTGTCACAGGCTGCAGGACCCCAGAACAGCTAAAGCATGTCAATGCATAAGGACAAAATTGGATTTGCAAGCAGCAGACAGCCAACTGTTTTGCACATATAACCCTAAAATATCAGACCTTTCTATGTACATCTCATCACACAGGCAAGTCTGTGGTGACAATAATGACATTTTTCTGATGGAATGCTAAATAACCTCAGGGACACATCACCTACCATGCTGGAGACGGTGCCTACATTATAAAATGATGGTTCCTGCCCCAAAGAGTTCAGTCTCTGTTCAGTATGATGCCCTGTTTCTTTTGTATTATTCTTGTAGCAGCATGAAGGCTGAATACTTGATAATCCATTATCATCTCACACTTAGAGAAACACAAACACTGTTCTTTCCATGTGCCATTATGTCTCTCCATACAAAAAACACATGCCTGAAGTCTCTGAAGTTAAGGAAACAGTTCACCTCTAGTGCTCTTAGGTGATATTGCACTGCTGTGACAATTAACAGAATAATCCTAATGCAAACAGATAAACCAGAACTCTTACACAGACAGTTTTAGTTTATTATGGAGTCTGATACCACTGTTGGCAGTAAAGCGGGGGAATGAGACTAATTTTGTTGTCATATCAAGGTTCATGTGAGTAAAAATGCTCTTCCTTAGCCTTTATATATCAGCTCCCTTGATGACCTTACTGTGTGAAGCCCTGCAGTGCAATAAACAATTCTGCAGGTGGGGAAACTGGGGCAAAAAGTCATAGGCCTTTCAGGGGATCACCCAGTGAGTGGAAATGAAGGCACCGAGACCTACCTGTTGCCAGTCTATAAACTCCATTTGCTGACCTCCTCGGATGGCAGCACAGGCATATGGGCTGATTATGAGAAGCAAGTTACAGGAAGACATGGATTTTAGTAGAAGAACAGACTGGAGTGAAGGGATTAACGTGATTTAATGGGTCACTTGGGGAGGAGAATTGGCAAACATAAATACAATCCTATTCAAAGAAATTTAGCAGATGAACCAGGCCCTGACTGTGGACAGATACCTGCACTGCTGTAGATATCAGGTCTCTTTTCTCTCAAGGAAACCAACAGCTCAGTGTCCAGAAGCCTCAGAGCTCCTGCACCCTAAAAGGAGCAAGGATCACACAAATATTATTTGGGGATATACAAACAGCACCGGTGATTTCTTT